CACCAATACTTGGGCAATTCTGGATTTTGGAAATTTGCAGAATTTAGATAAAAAATTGTAAAAAAGAAAATATTCCTTAATATTTATGTAAGAAAAAGGTATTTTGCATAAAGGAAGTGCCCCCAACCCCCTGAATTACCACCACATGAAATTAAAATGCGACTTGAAACCCAAATAGTGATATTTTTTTTTGATTTAAAACCGTGCTACCAATATTCACTGTTCCGTTAATTGATTGATGATTTGAGGCGTCATCACAATGCGATACTTCAGTTATGTCATCTTTATTTGTTATTTATTTTAGTCTTTTGCTATTTCATTTATAGGAAAATTTTGCCTTTTCTTGTGATAATCTGAAAATCTTCAGATTTGCAGCTCTCATTTTCATTATAAATATGGTAGCTAACTATAAATTGTGCCAAGCATTTTTAAAAGTATCTGCAAGTGCATCTTCCCATGATTTTGCAATGCCTCATATATCAGATTTTGCATTAAGATATTTCTAGAATCCATGGATGGTCTTACTTCGGAATCAGTTTTTTTACTTTATATAATTCCAATGTCCATTAGCTGATTGACAGATGTACAGTTTTGGCAAATGCGTGAAATAGGGGCATTATCATTTACAAAAACTGTAATTTTGATAAAAAATTAATAATAAACCGAATATAATAATAACAGCTTCAAATCAGAAAGTTAAGGAAAGAGAGTGCAGTTTGGTATGTTAACTGAAATTAGGTTCCTCAGAATTCCATTCTTTCTCCTCCCTTTCCTGTAGATATTCAAAACAAACAAACAAAAAAACTAGTACGAGCAACATTGCACTCCAAATGGTTAGATCTTGTGGCTTTACTTATTATTTAGATCAGATAGAAAAATACTAACTCCCTCAACCACTCAAAAGCTGAAAGTGTGGTCATGGCTAATGCCAGTATGATATAAACCAAGTTTTGTCATTGGCCACAATGTTATTCCCTATCCAGCAGGTATTGGAAACTGATGTATAGGAATCTTAATAACTCTTAAGAAAAGCTTCTTTTATTGCATGCTTGCCTTTTTCTGGGTTCTTAGACTTTGCAAGGAAAGGCTAGTTCTGTGGATGTCTGGATTTCAGACTGTACTGTGCTAACTTTTCTGTAAGTAATTTCCACAAATATTATATGATTGATTTGAAATTTCTGAAGGTGAGTATATGTTATCTTTCTTCATTTACTTAATTTTTTGAACTTTTAAAAATTCAGTTTGTATTTTTGAATTTTAAAATATTAATTGTAGAGTAAATTGTAAATATTGTCTTATTTAGTTTCTTTTGCAAACTTACTTTTTAACTAATTTCTCCATTATCTTAAATTTCATGCTTCCTAATGCATACTTATATGCTAAAATATAAATATTTCAAAGTCATACTGAAATGTATTATTCTTTCATAGGATGTTCGCCCTCGGTGGAAAAGAAAGTTAAAATTACAAGAGGGTAATCAATCCAAAATACAGCGTTGTGAAGAAGATATGGAAGTTGATGAAGATCTAGGTACATTTTATTTTAATTAGTTTATTTTATTGAATTCCAGTTTTACATTAATTCAATTCCAGTTTTATGTTGGTATATTTTAGTTTAGAAATTCTATTTTTAATATCAAAAAGTAGAAATTCTGAATATATCTTCTGCTGGGGTTTATGTTAAAATTTTGGATTGTTTGTAAATTTGAGATAATCAACAGGATCCAAAATTCTAACAGTTTTATAAGAAGATCTAGAATTGCAGCAGTTTTATCAATCTCCTTGTGTGAGTTCAGTATTTGTGGAAATAGTATAATTCAGAAACAATTCTAACTAGAACGTCTTTGACAAAGAAGTTGCCTTGTCTGTCTTGCCAAAGAGTATTTCTATAAAGTGATTGCTTACCTCATAATTCATTTCGTATTTTAGATTTTTTTCTTATTGAGTTTTTAATGTTGACCATGTTGAAGTATAATGGAATTTGAATAATGCATATTTTGTTGTTTATTAGCATATCATTTTCATTCAAGAATGCTTATTCTTGTCATTATGTTATACAGTGCTAAGGTATTTCATCTGGCTGATATGCATATTTTAAATATTTAGCAATGTTTACATTACTAACTCTACTTTTGTAAGTACAAATAATTTTTGATTTGCATCTTTTTCATACTATTATTTCTTATATTCGTAAATGTGATTAGTATATAAAAGGAAGAAGAAACGTGTTCTTGAATATAAGTCATTGCAATATACTACAAACTGTCAAAGGATCTGAAACATACTTTTTTTCTTTTTGTAATAATTATATTAATTAGGCTAAATTCCAGGTCTTATTTAATAATTTGAATATAGGCATATGTATTTACTTATATCAATATATTAATCTAAATTCAGGAGGTGGAGTACTTGATGATTCATCAGATTGTGCTGCAGAGTTTATACCTCCATTACCAACAGAAGCTCCTCCTCCACCACCACCACCAGATGATGCTGTGCCACCTCCACTACCAGATGATGATGTGCCACCCCCACTTCCAGATGATGCCCCACCACCAATACCATCTGATGACAGTAATGAAATTTTGCTCAATGTAAATAATTTGGACAGCCACGAGTGCTCCAATGCATCTGTGACTGGATCTAGTATGAATTCACCTGCACATCTGCCACAAACATTGAAGCTCAAGAATTTTGATGAACCTTCTTCTGGAACATCTTCTCCGTCTCTGACTGAACTGGAAGAGATGAAAAAAAGGCTAGTGTTAGAGTTGGGCTTTTCTTCATATGATACGAAACTGAGCTCGAAGTTAGTTACAGATATTATGATACCACAAGATATTGTAAAATTAAAAGAGAATGAAACCCAAGAATTCCTTGAATCTGTTGCTACACCAGAAAACAGCAATGATATATCAAGCTTTAGTGAATCTAGCTCCAATTTTGATAGAATAGAAACAAAAGTTAGTACTCCAGAATACTCTTCACCTGATCAAGGAGAAAATAAGTCCAATAAATCAAAATTTGTAATGTTGGGCACTCCTTCCCTTTCAAGACACAGTTCATATTCAAAACTACCAGATTATGAAAGATTTTCTGAAAATGTGTCACCTCATCTGAGTTTTGAAAATCTTCCTAATTCAACTGGTACATATGAGAAAATGAAGTGTGTGTTGAAAAAAGTGAAAGATAAGTTAAATTCATTTATGCAGACAAATTAAGTTCATTTATGGTGTCACATTTGTTTTTAATGGCATATATTAGTAATGTTTTTATCTCTAAGTATAAAAGCAGGGCAGTGTCTTGGCCATACATGTTCATAAACTGTGAGATTTAACAGAAAATTTATTTTAAAATAACTGTAAATTATGTCAGTTGTAGGATATTTTATTTTATTGCATAACAATCAAATATACATGTTATATAAGATAAGCATTAAATATAGATTGCAACAAAAAATTCTTTTTTTTATATAAACACTTATCGAGTTTGTTTTTTTTTTTTTTTTTTTAGATTATTTTTCAGTTGTTGTATAATAAAAAACAATTTCCCTCCTATTATTTCTTCAGTTCAAGCAGATATTGCAAATCATTTTCGTTGATAAGTATTATATGTAGATTGAATGGATATTAAACTTTAGGACTCAGAATTATTAATATTGAATTGACTGATAAAAGATTCATATCTTTCACAAAGTTAAATTTTCTGTGAGCTGTCAAAATGAAGAAGTTTGTAATAAAAGTATTAATATTACTTTAGACTATAAATTATGTACTCATAAAATAGAAAAATTTATGAAGTTTCATTGATATTTTGCATTTAAAAAACATCAATACTTCAGTTTAATGTTTGCTATTATTTTGCTCTTGTTTTATGTACCCCTGTAGTGTATTCAGTTTTAAAAAGTTGTCCTATTGGACTTGTATTGATTTCAACGTTTAACTTCTTCTTTACAACTTTTGAAAAAATTGCAAAAAATCATCACATTTTTTATTTTATTATTAAATACGAGGGAACGAAACAAAGTAAAATATGTAGGTTTTAAGTTGAATTTTTAATTTTTTACAGGTGTAAAAGCGCTTAGTTTTAATATTAGTTTACTATCCCGAGTTATCTCAGGCAAACAAAAAGAAGTTAAATATTAGTCTTTCTATGATAGTTTTTGAAACAAGGGACAACACAAAGTGATACCTGACATTTTGTACACTGGTAATCTGGTTTCTTTTTCTTACTGGCTTACCTCTGGAATCTCTTTTACATGAGCACAGTGTACACTGTCTCGTTGGATTTGATTTTTTATTGCCATTATTTCACTTTTTTCAATGCAACTATCCTTTATACATTACTAATCCAGAAGCCGACGTATACTATACAATAGGGAAAACACGTGACCAATCCCGTCAAAAGAACCATAAAACCAACAAAACGTTGCAAACTGCCAGTCAAAGCTTAATATTTCCTTTCATTTCCTCCAGACCGAGTAAAACCATGATATAACAAATCGTATTGACAAATTCTTCTTTTCTCGGGATAATAATTAACTGCAATATATGCGAATGCGAGATAACTCGAGATAATCTGGGAAGCGGTTAATAATAGATTGGGGAATTGTTGTCCAAATACATAGTGTATCCCTTCCCTAATATATGCCATGAGTCCATCACAATACTCTCAGATGTGGGCAAATCACCAATTCATTCCTGATTAATGTATATTTTTAATTTGCTGCTGCATCATGGCTGTGACTGACACAGTTTATAAAATTTTGTTCCAATCCTCCTCACTTGGAAGCAAAAAACAACACAAAGGTATAGTTGATTTTTATTATATTTCGTCGTTGATTCATGTTTCAATATCATATCTTTTGGAGGGTAAAAATTATTAAATTTATCATTCAGGTAATTTAATGCATTTGAAATCTTTTTCGTTTTATCATTACTGTTCACTTTTTTCTAATTTTTAAAGTGCAGGAAATCTGTTATAGCTGAAAACCATCTGAGAAACGTAGTCTTGAAAAATTGATATATTTATTATTGACATTTTTGACCAGAACATTTTTATATTTGTGATATAATAATGGATAATGAGAAATCTGTTTTTTATTTTGCTAACAGTACAGCCATTCCCCTTCTGTTTTCTTGCTGGAACGATGTTTTTCTCTATATTTCATGTTTTGTATACCTATTTCTGTTCATAACATTTCCCAAAAGTCCATTTTCAACATTTTTTAAAAAATTCTAATAACCTTTGGATTAGCACATAGTGTGCACAGAATCATAACAAGCATTTATTTATACCAAGTTCTTTTCTAAATTCCTTTATTTCAAGTACATTACTGATTTTCTTCCAAGTTGAATCTTTTCATGTTGAATTTATGTTTCCAGAAGGTTCATTGTAATCTCTTATTATTCCCCTAAAATGTTCTTCAGTATCATCACTTTATGTTTCATTATCAGTGTCAGGTAAATGTATATTTGTTTAATTCTTCATAATCACTACAACCACCAACAATCTATAAAGACTTCATTATAGTGTTTATTTCATGCTTTGTTTTTCTTGGAAGTAAAAATATATATTGATCAATATTTACAGTCATTCTAGCAGTAACCGTGCCAGTTTATTCCCAATTAATAACTGTACAAGTTTTGTACATGTGAAAACACATTAATTGCAGTTTCATTTGCATAACAGTGACATGAAAATTTGAAAATTACTGCAAAGGGTTAATTTTTTCCCCCTTTTTAGAGAAATATTGGTAAATAATATGATATTGTATCATTTTTTAATTAAAAAAAGTGATGATTATTTTAATTTTCTCTGAATTATTATCAGTATTTTAATAAGAACATACAAAATAAGCTATAATATTGTTTCCAATGTTTATTCACTAACACTTTCATTCTGATTTTATAAAGTATTTGCTATTATATAGCTGACTGAAAAGTTTGAGATAATTTGGTTTGGTTTATATGATTATGGCAAAGCCTTGAGGGCTATCTGCCTAAGATGCCTTCGTGGGGGACTAAGAGAAGCTGGCTTGTATACACATGGGAAAAACCATGAAAATGCCCATGCAGCCAGCCCATTCGGGCGTTTCAAACCTTGGACCAAACTACCAGTGTTCAGTGACTTTACTGCTCGGCCGCTGGTGGGCTAGTTTGACATCGATTCTCCTGTGTAAAATGAGATGACTCTGGGCATTATTTTTTCCTCTAAATTTGAGTGCTTCACATTAAGATATATTTTTACTGATGATTAAAAAAATATAAGTAGACTGTTTTACAGCATTCACATTAGCACTTTGGGTATGGCATTTTTCACTTCATCTGAAGAGAAGATCTTCTTTTGTAATTGCCTTTCAAGGATGAAAGATTCAACAGTCGTGTCGTTAAGTCTAGGCTATATGTGGGGAATTCTTATACAGTACAAAGTTCAAAATCTGGACTCATCGGGATTTCGGCGATTCCAGATTTGAGATTTTTCCGGATATTAGATCATCAGTTTAAATCTAGTAAGATGGCATGTAGAAATTATAAATTACATATGAATCTGATTTATGAATAATGAAGTACTATGATCTAAAGGGTATTAAAGTTACATAAAAAGCATAAATTTATTGGTTAAAACTTTTGTCAATGAAGGTTAAGGGGCTTCGTTATTTGTAATATTGCGCGTTATTCTGTAGACAGACATAATCGGCTGGAGGACAGTGGGGAAGTCCTGTAACGGGTGGGCGAGAATTCCGACACGTGTCAATTTCAGTTCAGTAAGTCGCTGGCACTTTTTCCGATCGGTAGCAGTATTTTCTGGATCTAGAGTCATACCAGTTGGCCATTTATTATTGATTGATGATTGAGAACCATTGTATCACAGTGCAAACTTTTTATATCATCTTCTTATTACCGCTTCTCAACATTTCTTACAAAATCCGTTAACTGGAAATTCACCTTTGTTTTGCGATATCTGAAAACCTTTAACATTAGTGGCTTCTCTCAATTAGCTATCCGTGCATCATGAATGGCGACTAACAAAAAGTTGTTCTGTTAAAATATCTTCTTCTATCACGCACTGACAATTAAAAGCCGGAATGTATGTTATTTATTATACTATGCTATTTCTGCTCATCTTAAGGCTTATCAGATTCTGAAAAAAAATCTACACGGCATTATGAGGGCTGTGTATAATGTTTACCCACTGAATCCAATCTGGTGAAATCCTAAATTCTGCATCCGGTGAGGCAATACAATCTGGGTGGGGGGGTTATGGAATAACAAATCAGTATTCTTAATTCAAAAGACCAAATTAATCTTTGGGTCGATGAGATATTAACAAAATCTATTTTTAGGTATGGAAAGAAATTGGGTAAAGTTTCCTCATCACCATTTTTTGCGCATTTAAATCTGTATCATCACCAAACGTAATTCAACCAAAAGGTTACCTATTCCTTTATTACAAGGACACAAAAAAATGTTTAGGCATCACTACATGAGTCTTACTCAAATTGTGATGTTTGATAACATGCGGTGATGGAAGGAAAGTATAATAAATAATGATTCGCCAGCTTGGCGTCAGATCAACGATGTATATATGTGGAATGTTTCGGTTTGAGATGTGTGCCAAGCAGTACTGATCGTACAAATTTATGCTAAAAGGATTATTTCTCCAAATACAAGGTATTATTTAGTGTCTAAGTGAAATTAAGAATTGGGACTCACCAGATGTTTTATTATGCACGGAGAGGGAAATCAAATGTGTAAAGACAGTGTTGTTGGTGGTTTTGAGGTCCGGATTTTAGATGACTCCGGATATTGGACGTCTGGATTTCGGACTTTGTACTGTATTACCATAATATCAAGTTCAGACAGTCTTCCTGATACCACAGCAATAATATGCAGTCAAATATTGTAATGGAGCAGAATGACTATTTCTTGAACAAGTATGGTCTTTTTTTTTTCCTCATAGCTACATGCAAATAGTTTTTAAGGTGCTTGCACAATAATCAAAGCTCTGTGTCTGCCCGTGATTTGGCAATGTTGGCATCCATAATGACAGTGAATGGCCTGTCAGAAGTTGCAGTGGGCTCAGTACAATAAAGGTAACACTCTCATGTTTTCTTTGAAGTGTCTCCACTAAAGCATCAAAATGCTGAAGCACAGCTATGTGTTCCATCATTTTCTGCATAAAATTTCAAGTGTTTCATTATAGTTCTTCCTATGCTTAATGCAAAATTACCACACATCTCTTTCATATAATCATAGAGGTACACCGAGTCCCTCCCCCCCAAAAAAAACTTGGGGGGGGGACAAGTTCTGTATTTTCCATTCTACTGGGCCGATTGACAAAATTCAACTTGCATTTCCATGTCTCAGAAACACAACTTAGGATATGTGTTATATTTATATATAGCATTGTTCTAACATAGGTATTTTGACACAAAATCGGACTTTTTCTGAAATAACACGTAGAGACATTAGGATTTTTTGGAACCAAGA